ATACAAAATTTAATATTCAAAGAAGATGTTAATTTATCTGTAAAAAAAATCTCCCTTAATAATCTTTTAAAAAGTGTCCATCTTCATCAATTGTCAAAGCTGGCAGGTTTAGTTTCTAACTTCTTGTTTTTGCTGCCAAAGCTAACAACACTCATTTTAAGAGCTGCAAGTAGCCCACAGGCTGCATGTTGAACCTGCCTGGTTCAAATCTCATTCAGATACTTTGGTAAGAGTGACTGAGTGGGTAGAGGAATTGTCTTGCCTTTATAATGTCGGGAGTTTTATTGCAGCCTCCTTATCTACATATTGCTGTATGAATGAGAGTGTGACTCAGTGAAAGTGGCTCTATTGTAAATCACTTTGACAGTTCAATCTAACTAGAAGAGAATTTCGAAGGTCAATTTTTTTTTTTACTGAAAGCATAAATTTGTGGTAAAATAAGTTGCCTAGTCAAAGTGCAAACCTAAAGCCAATTGGCGAGACATGCTTTGACAAACATATTAAATATTCTAGTTCTAGTTGTGTAAAGCTATGAAAAAAGGTTTAGTAAAGTATTGACTAAGATGGGCTTTATGAACACACACCAAAGTTTTCACATTTTAAGAAACTAAAAACATTTTACTCCATGCAGGAATTTTCTCCTACTTTTTAATTGTACAACACAGCTTTTTGACAATATGTTCCAGAAAACCCTCATAAACTAATGACATTTTGTGACTCTAAGGATACAAAGGTGTGGGGAAAAAACCAAGGAGAATAAATACATAGGCATGGCTTTAGGAATGATGATGGTTCAGATCTGTAGACTCAAAATAATTTACATTTAGTTAAATTTTTCCAGGATACCTTTTTCTTTCCTCTGTTAAATGCTTGATAAAACATTTAGGAATTTCTTAAAGTGCTCTGTTGAAAGCCATGTTCTTCCTCACTACATCATATCCTGTGGAGCAGGATTTCTGTTGTCATTAATCTGTAAAACAAGCTGTTTAGCCTGTTGCCGCTGGCATCAGTATCCCAATGGTCAGATATAAAGAGTTGTTTCATGTTTGAAAACAGATTTTTAACACACAAGAGAGAGGAAGAGGTTTATTATATATTATATATTCCCCCAAAATGATTAATATTTTCAGGGATTTTTCCACTTTACATAGACTTAGGGGAAAATCTCCTCTTAAGTCAACTCTAAGCAGACTGTCCTGCTGTTACCCAACCCACTTGAGCATGTCAAGTCAAGTCAGGACGACTGGAAGCTTTAGTCACAGTTACTGTCAATGGCTTTCCCAACACTTTCCCCATGTGAATAATAATGCAATCCTCACTGAGCACAATGGTTCAGGTGTTGTATCATCCAGGAAACATATAAAGACATTTAAAAAGGGGCGGAGATGTGAAGTTAATAATATTTTGGATAAGATCACTGTTACACCTTTGTAGATACTTCATTTTTTTGTTATCTTAATTAAAAAAAAAGATTAAATATTGTTTTATTCAAGAAATATGACGAAATATGTTGCACTGCAGCAGAAGATCCAAGGCTCAGGTTAACATGAATAAAACTTCTAATAATGAAGCCTGAAAGTCAACTTGGTAAAGGAAAGTCTGCGGCAGGCAGTTAGCAGTTTGGGTGGGCAACTCAGAGCAGTTAGGGTGGGGCATTGAAAAGGCACAGAGTTCAAGGGGTAAAGACAAAATGGTAACATGAGAGTTAAACACATGTTCTGCCAAACAGGTCCATTGAATGAACCAGAGCAGATGTAGAAGAGTTACAAACTATGGATGCAGCCAAGATCATGAGCCCCATCCAAATAAACCATGTGCTAGATAGAGGCATAATGTAAAGACAAATTTATCATGGTATTCAAATATTTACAAAAAAGTTTGCACAGGAATATAATTTCAGAAAAATATTTATTTGAGTTTTAAATTCAATAAAGAAGGGATTTGTTCATTGCTTTGTTATAGATGTTGACTGCTCTGGGCTCATGTAGTGGCCTGTCTCACAGCAGATCAGTAGAAGCCTCTGAATGAGGACACTCTGTTGTTCTATGAGATAAAGAGGACTTTCATGGTTGTCCATAATCTTCTTTATCCTATGAGGAATTCCTTTATATAAAATTATTCCCAGAGGTTCAAGAGGAGTTCCCAGATCAAAGCCGTTCTTCATTTGCCATATGAGCTTCTTAAAGTCACCAACAAATGATGGATATAAAAGATAATCTACATCTTGCTGCAAACACTGAAGGACTAGTTTTTCATTTATTTGCATCTCCAGTCCTGTTTTTTGTATTTATTTTCCTCCAACTCCTCAACATCTGCAGAAAATAAAGTTTTGAATAAAAAAAAGGTTCCATTCAAGATTGTTTGATATAACATTGGCTTGTTTTACATAGCACCATGTCACAACAAATGTATTTCCAAAGGTTTATATTGTTACATCAATCCATTCTCATGAATAGAGTCAGTTCAAAGTGCAAAACTTCAAAAACAGAGATTTACAGCAACATAAAGTAGTTGATAATTTACATCAGTGTGGGTGAAAATAAAAAGATGTACAGTATAACTTTTGTTCCAAAAAGACAGAAAATTTAAAATAAAAATGGATTCTGGTGGAGAATTCACTAATCTCTGGTTTAATTTTAATACATTTTAATATAATAAAGAATATTGGCTCTGTTTTGACTTAGACTTAGACAACTTTCATTGTCATTTTGTATACACAGAGTGTATACAAAATTAAATTTTGTTTTGTACAGCTCTCATGACATTTCTATTTCTTAAAGGGCAGCAGTGATAAAAATTTAAACAGTGTGGGAGAAAAAAAAACATGGTGCAAAAAACCACATTGATATGGAAGTTCAGAGCATTAAAATATATATGGTGCAATTCTGTGACATGATTTGTAGTTTTCTCAACAGTACAGCTGTCTGATGGCGGTGGGGAAGAAGCTGTTTCGGAATCTGCTGGACCTGCATCGAATGCTGCAGAGCCTCTTCCCAGAGGGCATCAGGGAGAACAGTCCCTGGTGGGGGTTTGAGGGTGTGAGGGGTAATTGGTAATGTTATGGTCTCGGTACAGACAGTTCTGGGATGAAATGTAGTTTATGCTGGAAAGAGGAGCGCTGATGATCTTCTCTGCTGCTCTCGGACCTCCTCTGGGGTCTGGAGATTATTTAGCAAAAAATATATTTTTATAAAATCAGGAATATTATGAACAACCCTAAACATTCTCTTCAGAAGACTGAACAACAGTTGCATTTCTGAGGTAAAAAGTCTTCTCTAGATCTCCTGCAAAAATTACTGTAAAAAACAACAACAACTGAATTAAAACAAGATTGTATTTTATTTTGGAAACAATTAAACCTTTTTTATTGAAATTAGCATTTTCCAACTTTGACATGCATCCCATATATGTGGGAGAAGTAGCTCCTTAAATGAGAGCAAACATCTTTTTGTCCTACATGCAACATGGGTAGAGAAAGACTAACAGAAGACATCACAATTAATGCATTATTTCCAAGGTAAAACACTGTTGGCTGCATCATGCACTCGACATTCATGCAACTGGTACAAGGAATTCAGAGGTAGGATGGTGGTATTTGATGGGGTAAACCTGGAAAATATGAAACTGGGTGCTAGTAGTATTATGAAGCATTGTCACACATAACAGAGTCATGTCACAAAAGATACAAAAACTGTTTTACCGGTAATTCAGGGGCCAGACTACAAATGCACACCAAAGTTTTTAAATGGTTATTTGAAAACCCTTTTAATTCCTTTTAATCTTAACTACATATCCAGGGGCGTATGTAGGGTAGCCATGCAATAACCCAGTGGTTCCCAAAGATTTTCTTCTGGGCCCCCCTTTGGATTACAATAAAATTCCCCCCCTCCCATCTTTTCAGTGGCTGTAGTGAGCCTGCTTGTTGCTGCAGATCTTCTCAAATCTGGGTTGCAGTGTCACAACTGTCCATTATGCTCAGTCAAGAGAGCGCTGTTTTTTTTTTTTGTTTTTTTTTTCTTCATTCATCCATACCGCTTCCCGCGCCCCCCCTGCAATGGCATTGCGCCCTCCCTAGGGGGCGCGCCCCACACTTTGGGAACCACTGCAATAACCAATGTATACTCAGGGGGGTGGCCGAAAGTAGATAGGCACCAGAACCTCACGGTCAATCTACACTGTTCCAACAGGAAAATTAACAAGCAAAACATCCATATTTTCTAAATAAAGACAAACTATACTTTTCAATAGCCTTTGCTAACAGATAGACCAATATATTCAAACATCATCAGTGCTTTCTAAAAAAAAAGGTATAGTGGATAAAATTCTTTCAGGTTTGAGTTTTGGGCGAACATCTTTTTCATTGTCTTTACTTACCTACTTTTATCAATAATCATTCTTCATAAAATTGATATTTACAAGTAGCCTACTAATATCTACATAAATTGATTGTTTAATATGTTTTTATTAAAATAGTAATTTATCTATGATTTCACTGAAGACTCCTAGATGACTTGCAGGGACACATAATTTTCTCTTTACCCCATAAAACACAAAATCTATTTCTGCTTGAATTCTGTACTTATCATTTTTAATGTTAGTATATTGATGTGTATAATAGACCACAGAGTTTTTGTTGTCAAGTAATTAACATATGAAAAATTAAAATGTTTTAAATATTCCACTTGAGATTATTACTGTTTCCTCCGTCTGTATTAGAGGGAAATAAATGGTAGTGGTGGCTGATGATTGACTAAGGGTGGCCATTGCCACCCCTGGCCCCCCATCTAGCTCCGCCCCTGCGGTGGTATAGTTAATTTAAAGTTGTTTGATATATAAAATCCGAATAAAATAGACAATGTTGGTATGGTGGTGTTTTAATAAAATGTTAAAAGGATGCAGCGAATGCAGGGCAGTGGATGTTTAAAATTCTTGGTAATCAATACTGCCCCCTATCGGCAGAGACAAGCCCCGCCCCGGCGATCAAGAACCCCAGTCAGCGAAGGGAAGCTGGGAGACCCGGAGGAACAGGAGCGGGCGTCGCCAGGGGATCAGCCGCTCCCGCGTTCGTCCGACCGACACTCAGCTATAGCTGCTTCCAGGCAGTGGTGGTGGAGGTGGTGATGATGGCGGCGGCTGTGGAACGAGGAGGCGTTCGGGCTGCTTTCCTGAACCCTGGCAGCGGCAGCGGCGGACCCGCGCTGACAATGCCCCCGACCGGAGCGCTAGCCGGGGCTGTGGTCCTGGGCTCAGGATCCAGCAGTATGCCCGTCCCCATGAACCTCTTTGCAACCTGGGAAATAGACCGATCCTCTCCGAGCTGCGTTCCGAGGTAATAATTACAACTACTGTGTTGGAGTAAATACTCCACAAACCAAAATGTTTAAAATAAATAAAAGAAAACTTAATAAAATATAAATTGTTTAATTAACAACGCCCTCATTCGCCTTATTGTGAAACGGGGGAGAGGAGCTTCACATTCCCATAACAGAGGCTAGCTAGCACGAAGCTAATGCTAAGCTACACGGCTAGCACCGTTAATGCTTCTTGCTGTTGTGTCCATTACTTTATTTCTATTTTTATTAGAAACATGTTATACTTAATGACTCACAACTGTCAAAATAAAACAGAATATACCCTCAAACATATCACACCCCCAATTCAAGTTGTAAATATATTTATATTTTGGTCGTTATAACAAGCTAACTAAAGTTCTCAGAATTTATTTCTCAGAATTTAGTTTTTTTTTTTTTTCTCATGCTGTATGTTCACGTGAGGCTTTTTTCATCAGATCATCAGAATGCATGTCACTTAATAGCATAACTGTCTATAAATACATTGACATGGAATCCGAGCAGATATCCTTTTCATCTTTTAATGCAGATCTCTCTGATCTATGGAGCTGGCTGGCACTTCAAAGTCAACACATTCCGCTCTTAGTTTTACTGCAGATCCGCTCTTTTAGGTCATCCTTGCATCGCTTTGTCACTTACTGTGAATGCAAATGTCATGGTCCATCTGTTTTGTTTTAATGGTGCTGAATGCAGTAACATTCGATACCTTTGCGTTTGCATGGATCATCAGTGAACATGCATTGCTGCCACCTGATCGGGAACCCTCTGGGGGGGCTGTGGGTGCATTAATCAGCTTTGACCTAGATCTGCTTCGGATGGAAGTGGGCTTCCAAAAGGGGAGGGGTTTTCGCGTGTTTTTGTCTGTTTGCATGATGTTGTTTTGGTGTTTGCATGGGTATGCAGGTTTGAGTGGAGCTGTAGCAGATGAATGATACACCCACTTTTATCTCACATCAAAAAGCATGACATTGTATGATTGGTAAATAATATTTTCAGGGCTGCCAACTTTTCACCAAATCTTGGGGTGAGATTTTGAAATAGTTTGCACAGGTTTTTAGAGGATTTAACTGAAACAAAGTGGCAAAATGTGGAATTTTTTTTTATAGCACAACTATTTAACTTGTGAGCAAAAAATGAACTTAAACTGAAAAGCATCAGGTAAAGAGAAAACAAACCATTTAATGTGATCCTAATTTAAGCTTCATATTTCAGTAGGTATTTCTATATTTTCCCTTCAAGAACAGCTGTTTGCTTAACTTAAAAAAATGAAGAGACATAACCTCTGATTTTCTGTTAAATCAGGAAAAAATAGATATTTTGCATAAATGCATCACTGCAGTATTTAACAATATAAACGTCATTACACCATTTTCTAATATTGTGCAGCCCAGTTCCATTCCTTGTCTGAATTTTTGGTTTCTCTGGAAATGTATCCACTCCCTCCAGACTCAAATTTTTAAGCTTTGCAGCTGCTTGGTTGTGGTAAATCAAATCTCAACATCGGCAATTAGTATCCTAAAAATCTCTTATTATGCATTCCTTTATTTCAAGGTAGGATTATAATTATGTTCTCCCTTTTAGCTTCTGTGTTCTGGAACAGAGTTATTTGCACATCTTTTGCAGTAAATACAACTTAAACAGTTATTATTTGTTATGGTAATCTAATGCTTCGCCTTGTTTCTCTTTGGGTAGTGTTGGTTTGCCACAATGCATCAAGGATAAAGGATATTCACATTTCTCTATTAATGCTACATGATGGTGCATTAATAGAGCCAGTCATACATGGTGCATTGATTTCTCATGTCCACTCCTGCATGACTTTTTCTTTTGCGGATAGTTTAGAACAAGCTCTATTAGAGAGAAATGTGTTTGAAAGAGGTGATAGATTTTTATTGATGCACAGTAAAAGCAAACCACTCGTTTCATAGAGAAAGACTGAAAGTAGTTGCATTTCTCAGGTTGCACAGGATAAATGGTAATAGAGTAATAGTTAATGAGCTTGAGGGTTTATGAGACTGTTTATGTGGTTTTAAAATATTTATTGGAATTGATTTTAGACCTGGTGGCTTTAAAAATGGAGCACTTAATTATTTTTTAAAGTGACTTCTGTTGTATGTGGATTCAATGCTCTTAGAGATGGTCTATATGTATGAACACTTCTGCAAAGAGCCCAACCCACGGCCTGTTTTGGGGGATTTAGCCTTCGCATTCTTTCAAGGGTTGGGTTATTTTTCTGTGCAGCTGTTTGCTCCTTTGCTCCAGTAAATGTGGACGTCCAGCCTATTGAGTCGTTTCAAACGAAGACTTAAGAGCTGCTATTGGTTTGGTTGTTTTTATGTATTTATTTGTTTTTACAAGGAGTGTTATACGCCTGACATCAGCCACAGCTGTGGGTCATTAGTAAGTACCAGCTGGTTTTATTATCTCAGACTTGGCAATATTAAAATCACTGCTCTGCTTTTATGGACTCTGTCTGTTGGGGATTCCTGACAGTAATTCTGCTGACCCCACCCTTGGCACTGGGCCACTGTGTGACACCTTGTATAGGTGGGATCTCTTTGTGGAGCTCTTAACTTTTAGAGAAACTAAAGCTAGGCGTGAGTTTCCTCCAGATCTCAATTCCTAAACTTAAATCAGACGCCTGCTGTATTTTCTAGAACCGCCAGTTTACATGTAAATTCTTTAATTTTTTTAATGCACTGGTTGATTAATATCCAACTCTGTAGGAGTCAAAAGCACACACTCATGTGGTTCATGTCGATCATAAAAAGGCTTTATCATGTCATTGAAAAGGCAGTATGACGAATGTGTGACTAAAGCTAGACTATGAGTTGCATCTGTTAATAAAGTCATCGTCTGTTAACTGTCAAGACTAGTTTCTGTCTACATTTTGTAAAATGGCTGCCCAAATATCAACATCCATATTAAAATTGCAGACATTTAATACTATTCATTTGCAAACACTCAGATGGAAAATAAGTTGTTAAATGCTTTCATAAAAATCATACTTTATTATTTTGAAGTAAATGTCATAATTTAAAAGTCAGCCATTTTTTTAATGTAAAGAGTGTATCTACCTTTTTAATATACTCCCCAAATTACCTGCTTATTATTTAGAAATCTATATTTTTGTACGATATACTAGCTTAAATCTATGCCTCACCTGAGATTAGAAATGTGTATATAAAAAAAATAATAATCCTTAAGAGTTAGCGTTCATTTGCACTTTAGTTTATCAGTTGGCCTGGTCCATATTACTGATAATAAATCAGTAAAGTGCATCATACACTTTGACAGTTCTAAGACCTTCTCCTATGAATCAGACTGTTGTTTTGCTCCTGCAGTTCCACAATCTGAATATCCATAAAGGCATTAAAAGGCTTTGGAAAACTGGACCAGTTTAATTTCAGACATTTTCAAGCTGTAGTACTTTCTGGTCGCTATGGTAGCATTAAACATGCCTTTAAAATCAGAAAGCATAAAAACAAAGTAGATGAAAACAGCTGCATAACTACTCCCAGTAGCAGTTATTCGGGGGGAGCCTTGTGTTTGCTGCAACGAGTGAATGTCACCTACTGTGTTTTGGCATACGTCAAGAATGAGACAACCTTTATTGTCATTTTGTCATATTGTCGTTTTGTATACACAAATGAAACAGACTTGGAAAATAAATCCGATTGAAATAATGGAGGTTATTTATTGAAACACCGACCAGGATTTTACACCAACACATTTTGCTGCTCTGTGGCGCTTTTGTGGACCACCTCCAGTTTTATGCAGGGATCCAGTATTTGGCTCCGTTTGGATGTAGCCTTAATCTGCAAATATGACTGTTAAATCTTCTGTCAACACCCACCGGGACTTAACGGAAGTTTTTTGCATTAGCAGTTTGCTGAAGTAGAAGGCGAGTTCTAGCTGTAACATGTTCCTCTACAGGATTATGTGGGCTGTTCCCTGCTGCAGAAATTTGATCAATTTTACTTGGATTTCAGGTTATTTGAGGATAAATGATTCCGCTTCGGGTTGCTATTGCCCAGGTGGTAAAGGAACCAGTACTTCAAACCGAGGTGTCAAATCACACGGAAAAAAAGTAAACTGCAGCAACCAATCCAGACTCTTTGTCCAAGTTTGATTTTAGGACTTATTTGTTTTAGAAAATACAGCATTTGTGAGATCAAAGCAAAAGAGCAATTTTCACTTTGTTACAAATTTGAGTTGTTGTTTTTTTTTACCTCAGGGGTTGCATTTTTTTCTTTGCCTTGCAAAAGTCCAAAAGAAAAGCAAATATAGCCTGAGAGATTACATTTTTTTGGTAATTTGTGCTGTTTTACAACTGTTTGTGGAGCCATCAATTAAATAGGAAGTTGATTGATTACATAACCCTGTTGTAGAATGCAACACAGAAGTTTGGTAGTATTTCATAATCCTTTTTAGTCACATTTTACCTAACTGAAAAATCTCTGCCAACAGCTAATCAATCTAAAATATTTTTCAAAAGCAAACCCTAACCTATCTGAAATAACAAGCAACCCAAACATCTAATTTGGTGCATCCCTGTTTTTATTTAACTTCTATCTGAGAGACTTCTGTCGACTAGATTAGTTGTGAAAGCCTTGTCCTGAACAGGCTGCCTGGTGAAACAGTTGGACTTGACTTGTTTCGATTCCAGCACCCATGCCTGCCAGACTGCCACCTCCAATCTTACCAATGCCATGTGCTGTTGGTTTTGTTGCTTGTTTCTCTTTGGATGGATACATTTTTTTTCTTTGTCTGCTGATTTGAACACAAAACCTTTAGAGAGTGCAGAGAAAAAAAGAAACATGAAAAACCACATACATACTCATATATCCCCCCTTGGGTTGCTGCTGACTAGCGCTGTAGTCATGCTGCTGTCTAGTTAAAGAGAACAAGAGAGATGTGGGATGAGGTTTATAACAATACTGTCTCTTCACATTAAAGATTAAGCCCTATTTGTGCT